AGGCAAGGCAAAGCAAAGCAAAAAAGGATGATTTAAAATCTTTAGAACTTTGTAAGGAAAAACCCCAACACTGTACCGGGAGCATAAATAATATAGAACATTACCAAACACTTACTACTTAGAATAATAAAACTACAGGATACCAACACACTCACTTTTGTGAACTTGTACACGCTATGCAGTTAGTATCAAATGCATTGTTATTAACAAGAACAAGAGGGATCACGCTACAACATACTGGGCCACTTCAGAGTAGAATCAACTTTTCCTCTCCTGGCTGGAAGTCTAGTGCCACTCTTGCTGTCCTGTCCTTTGCTTCTCTTCAGCCTGAAGTGCTCCTTTGAGTCAATGTTTCTGGGGCTGTATCTCTTTTCACTGAGTTTATCCACAAGTGGGTTTCCTCATCAAGTGGGCCCTCACCTGTCCATTAGGCATCTTTGAACTGTATTCCATCAATAGATGTCCAAATAGTCCTTCTCTCTGCTTAGGTCCCTTGGGGATGGGCTTCTTGTTTACTATTTTCAGGATCTGTTGTCCTCTAACACAGCTTTCTGATCAGCTCCCTTTTTCACCAATTTGATTTCCTTTCATTTTTTTCCTTTGATACCCTCTCTCCGGTACATCTGTAGATTTTATTTCCCTCTACTTCCCTTCTCTAATAGTGTCTGCTCACATACCCAGGTCTACTTTTTTTCTGCTTCTTCCGATCTGAAACCTTTCCTGTTTTCCTTCTTTTTCTCGTGCTCATTTCTCAGTCCCCTACTTTTATTCTATCACTTCCCCTCCTACCCAGGGTCCGGTTCATCCGTTAGCTCAGCATCTCGCTTCTTCTCTTCCTCATTTGCCCCTTCGGGTGGATTCTAAGCCCACCCCCGCTTGAGCTGCCCTCCCATTGGCCGTCTCTCTCCCAAGGACAGCGTTCGGTGCTGCTGTCTCACAGCTGCAGCAGGTGCTAGTGCCAGGGTGAGGATAACCACAATAGTACATCAGGACAGGAGCATCCATTATCATTTGTTTCTGTGTGTCAGTGCTTGCCGTTGGGGGGTCTGCCCAGTCCTACAACACATCCTGCCTTGCGAGCAGACGTCTGGGTTCGGGTTTCCACAGCCAGCGGTGACAGAACACAGACAGAAAATGTCTCCTTCCTTTGAAGTGCTGCGCCCCTTTCACATCCACTGGAGCTGGCATGTCTCTGCTGGGATCTGCTTTCAGTCCCTCTGCTGTGAGCAGATATCCAGTGTATGTCACCTTATGCTGTTTGACGTGCCCTCCCCTCCCCTCTTGTACAAGTCCAACTGAATCTTTCTGGGACCCTGCACACACTGCTAAAATGGTCAAACTTGCCGCATTCCTTGCCATGCTGTCCTAGTGCTGATCACTTTTTCACCTGCTCATGCTGTCTCCCCACTGTCTTTTCCAATTTTACTTTATCCTGTCTGAGCTGGGCGACCAGAACTGGATACAGTATTCAGGGTGTGGGCGCACCAGGGATTTATATACTGGCATTATGATGTTTGCTATCTCTTTCCTAATAGTTCCTAACATCCTGTTTATCTCTTTGACTGCTGTGGTGTACTGAGTTGAAGTTTTCAGAGAACTATCCACAGTGAATCCAAGATCTCCTTCTTGGGTGGTAACAGCTAATTTAAAATCTATCATTATATATGTGTAGTTGGAATTATTTTTCCCAACGTGCCTTACACTGCACTTATCAGTGTTAAATTTCCATCTGCTGTTTTGTTGCCCAGTCACCCAGTTTTGTGAGATCCCTTTGTAACTCTTCAGTCAGCTTTGAACTTAACTATCTTGAATAATTTTGTATCATCTCCAATTTTGCCACTTCTCTTTTCACTCCCTGTTCCAGATAATGAATATGTTGCACAGCACAGGTCCCGGTACAGATCTTTGGGGGACCCCTCTGTTTACCTCTCTCCATTTAATTGTGAAAACTGACCATTTATCCCCACCCTTTGTTTCTAATCTTTTAACCAGTTACATGAGAGAAACTTCCCTCTTATCCTATGGTCACCTAGTTTCCTTAGAGCCTTTGGTGAGGCACCTTCCTATTATCCTCATTGGGATGTGTCTTCCAAATTTTTAAGGATGCCTTTTTGCCTCTAACAGCCTCCATTACTCTGCCGTTTAGCTATGGTGGCATTCTTTTAGTCCTCTTATTGTTTGTTTCTGAATTGGGGTACACATTTAGTCTGAGCCTCTATTATGGTGTTTTTAAATAACCCCTCATTTTGTGTCATTCCCCTTTTGAAGTTAAATATTACTGCAGTTCGGGTTTTTCGGGAGGGGCTTCGTATTACTCCCGCTATGTTACGGTCACTATTACTGAGTGGTTCAGCTATATTCATCTCTTGGACCAGATCTTGTGCTCCATTTAGGACTAAAACTAGAACTGCCTCTCCCTTTGTGAGTTCCAGGACTAGCTGTTCCAAGAAGCAGTCATTGATGGTGTCTAGAAATTTTATCTCTGCATCACGCTCCAAGGTGACATTTACTCAGTCTTAACTCGGTTTACAACTGACCTATATTAATGTAGCACCAAATCACGATAGGAAGGTTTGGCAGAATCTGATTTTTTGAATAGTTTTGATGGATAATATCAGTTTATTTTTAAGCATTTTTTTCAATTTTTATCTATTCAAATTTTCAAATTCACCCAAAATTATGAGGTTTAAGCATTTCCCCTCTATTCTTATCCATTTAAGTTTTCACAGTTGCAGGAAATTATAGAGGGGAGGTCAGACAATTATTTAATGACAGTAGTTGTTGATATTCAAAATGTTAAAGCTTTATAACCATTAAAACACCAATTGTCAATATCACATGTCAAAACATACGAAGTCAATATCCTTAAATCAAACTCAGTTCTTAAGCAGCATTTTTCTCTTTTTTTGCTTATTTGTAAATTTCAATTATCAATGGAAATATTTTGTCAGTTTGTGGCTATACAGTGAAATTGATGTTTATCAACATTTTATCAATACAAATTTAATCCTTCCAAGCCCAGCTATAAACCAGTTGTAAACCAATTTAAGTTCATCCATGCAAGGGGCTGCACCAGCTTAACTACATCAGATTAAAAACTGATTTTAGCTAAACCAGTGCACTGTTTGGGTGCACTAGGCCTCGGAAAGGATAAGTGCTAAGGACTTAGAGAAGCTAGTGCCCCAACACAGCCCACAGCAAGATAACTTTGAAGGCATTCCTTTGAATAGCAGGAATGCCATGCTGCCCTTCACATTCTTTTTAAAGTATTCTTTCCTCCCCTCCAAACAGTAATCATAAAAAGCAGCAAGATTCTGTCACACTATGTATCTTGGTGTCATGGTCTAACCAGAAGTAATACAGACAGAAGAGCTTTACAAAAGACATTAAACCAGTTCACTCACTTGCCAGTGACTAGGCATAGTGAAACCTTGTGGCACATGCCATCTGCCTACCAGCTGCCACAGGACACAGAACACATGGAGATCATCAATTACCAGTGCCCTAACCTGTAGATGGGATGTTCTGAAGCAGTAGTAAACAATGCGGAGGAAAAGCAAGGACAACTACTAATTACACTTCTTCCAGCAAACTAGAAAAGTATATGACCAGAACCTCAAAATAAAACCACGTTTACAACACTGGCTCCAGCCCATTTAATTTGTATTTCATATTATGGTAGTGCCCAGAGGTCCCACGTGAGATCAGAGCCCCATTGTGCTAGGTGCTGTACAAAGAGACAATCCCTGCCCTTAAGAGTTTAGACAAGACAGGCAAAGGGTGAGAGGGGAAACAATTAGCACAGGTCAGGAGAAGGCGAGCCTCCCTCCCTGAAAGAACTTCAGTTAATTTCTTCTTCATTTAAATAGGTCCTTCTGCAACAAGGCACCTTCCACAACATAAGAAAGGCACGTGATTAATTCCATGCCCCACGCTTAGCCAGCTGTTGAACATTCCCAGTGAGCTCAACAAAGCTTTGAGGTTAATTGCAAGCAATATTCAGGCATTACATCCAGTAGGGACAAGCTGAGGCTGCTACGGGGTTTCATACAGATAAATGTGTGTGCACACATCTATCAGCTTTACTAGCGCTGGCAAAGCTGCCAAAATAAACCTGCCCTCAGTGCACAACTCAGCTTGGGTGTGGTCCAGCGCTTTGAGCCCAGAGCTGGGAATCAGAAGCTCCAACGTTCCCACCACCTCCTTCTATGGCTTTGAGGAAGGCACTTCCCTTCCTTCAGCCTCAGTTTCCTGAATGGTAAACTGGAGGTAATATTTACTAACCTCAAAGGATTGTTGTGAGGATTAGTGTGAGTAAAGCATTTAAACGCTGAGTATTATTATTTCTACACCAGTCAGAGTCAATCACTGCTGACAGAGACAGTGCAACTTCCTCGGCTCATTCCTTTATTATAGGCAGAGCTGGTAGCAATGTCCATGGTTAAGGCTGAAGGACACTTTCCATTATGAGACCCTGTGTTCAGCTGCTTATAACTTTGCCAAACTTAAAGTGTTCAAGGCAACATTTTCCTTGCCGAACGTCTACCTTCAGCTGCCTGATTTTGGAAAGTTTCACCTATATTGGGTCTGCGGTTTCTGAGGACGGGGTTAGGGTAAAAGACATTGTGTTTCCCCGTGTTAAAACATGGATTATAAACATTCGATTGAAACATTCTAGTACCTCTGGGCTCTAGAGCAAGGACTTGAAAACTGGCAATGTAGCATCTCAGAGTTTGAGAGCTTTGCTAATCAGGTCACCTGCAGCAGTTCATCCTACCCAGAAATCCCTGGCAGGTTTGCTCTTCTAAAACATCAGCCGTCTCAAAAAACTGGTGTAATATTTACCACCTTCTTTCATTGTCTGATTGAAATGCCCTGATCCAGATTCCCCCAGTCAGTGCCCTCTGATCAGTCCTGGGACCAGCAAGAAGCACTTTTACCCCATCACAGAGAAGAGCCTTTTGGGCCAGTCATGGAAATTCAGAGTCAGAGCTACTCACCACTTTCCAACGGTCCTTGACCACGTAGTTGGCCGGCAGAATGTCGACCTGTTCCCCTCCCCCACTCATGTTTGGTTCCTCCCTGATAGCTGCTACTAGGCACTGCATTTGCCAGCCAGAAAGTATTTTAGTAGCTCCCAATTTAAATGAGCCATTTATCTGGGAAGAAAAACAAAAGGGAGAAAAGGAAAGAGTTAGTGCAGGTCATTGCAGGTGGTTGATGCTGGTGAAACTACATCTCAGCGGCTCTGGTTTAGAGCCAATCAGAAACAGCATCTCTGGGAAGAAGGCAAACTCACCTCGGAGCGCAGCAAGCAACAGCCTGCTTTACAAACTCCTCAGCTCTCTCCATGCACAAACCTGGCAGAAGCAACCATGCCCCAAGTCCGCAGCACCAACTGAAGAGATGACAAGTTACTGGCTACACCATGCAGGGTCCCAGTGCTCTGGGGCCTCATAGCCAGCAACTCAAAGATGGGCCAATGCCAAATCCTTGCATACAGCCTGAGTATCAGGGTGGGAACAACGAAGAAAGAGCCGTAATTGTACCAGGCAAAAAAAAAAAAAAAAAGATCTTGCTTTAACAGAGCAGCTGATTCATTTTCTGTTATTTTGGTTTCCAGCTGACTGTATACAACACTCCCATCACCAAGACTTGCCAGGTACTATGCTCTGGAAGCCACAAGGGACTAGGGCGGCCTCTACAGTGCCAGGGTCACAAACACCGCTAACAGCCAGGCAGAGAAGAAGGGGACAGTTAGAAGGGGTTTCAGCCACGTATAGATTAGTCCTTGTAACACAAGCCTTGCTAAAAAATTTTCAATTCAAGCACAGAGCCAGATACAATATCGACTTTCCTTTCCCCTCCTTTCTCTCCCTGTCTCCAGGGCGAGGTGCTCTCACGCATCCATGAGTTTGGGATTACCTGATTCTGTAGCCAGTTTTGTTCTTGAATTTTTGGTTAAAATCCCTCCATAAAGGTGACTCTCAGCTTCATATCAGTGCTAACCTTGCTCATTTAAAGGAACCTTCGAGGTTATCTCACCAGCCGCTATAGACTATTTTCTGGCCTCAGAGCTAGCCCAGAGCCCACCATCCTTTGATTCACAGTTTTCTTGGTAGCTCTGCCCTGTTTTCCCAGGTATAGAGCCCATATGCCCTTTCTGGATATAAAACAAGTTCTTCTGCAGAGATCAAATACAGTTAACAACATACATGCTGAATAAGAAAATAAGGTTAGAGTCGGTCATTCGACCATTAGACTTCTTCAGGCTGGCATAATGATCAGAATATAGTGAGCTGTGTATCGGAGAAAAGAGGTGGTCGTTCCCTAAGCGCAGCTGGAAGGCTCAGACCTGTGGTCTGACCTGCACATGTGAGTTCCACAGATGGAGTTAGTGCCACAAAGCGGGCAGGATGGGAAGATACCACGTGAAGGATCACCAAATAAAAACGCAACTAGCATCTCAAAGGAGAGAGAGAGTCGTGCTCTAAAACAAAGAGACAATACATGCAAGGAACGCAGGAAAGGATTAGGAGAAAAAGAGGGCAACTGTATGCCACTGGAAAAGGAGAATGCAAACCATTCAACCTAATGCTACAAGCTAGAATACAAACCAATCATTAAACAGAGGAGAGAGGCAAAATAAATATTTTAAAAGTGTAGCAGAAGAACGTGCTGCCAAAGGGGTGTGGAGTTTCTCATCGATGCAGGGACCCATGAAGAGTCAACTATGGGGCAGCAGCTCTTCCAACATCCAGGAAAGGGCAGTGGACATCAGGCCAAGTTTCAGTTCTGTTCAATGAGAACCAGCAAGAGGCCTGCTTCATGGATGAAGTGCTCTGCACTGCTGGAGGCAGTCTGGGCTCCATCCCAGGCTCCTTCTCCCCAGCCTGCATGTCTGGGAGTGCTGCAGTGTGTGAGCCTAATGCGGAGTTGCTGTACCTCAACTGGACTGAATGAAGTTACTCCAGGTATGAACGTGGCCCGGTATGCACCCCAGGGGCTGAGTGAGGCCTGCGGCACCCTTCCCTTCTTCGCTGCACATCTCTTAGAGCGGCACAAGAGAGAGGATCCCTCCTGCAGCCCTTATAAGGGGCATGATCGGGCAGCAGCACAACTTACAGGGGACAGGCACAGTACACTGCGGGCCCTGCACTCAGGGAGTGCAAAGGGAGCTGAGGATGTGGGCCTTGGAACGGTGGCACCAACACAGAACAATGGGAAGGGAGTAGGGGTGGGATTCACAAAGATACTTACGTGTCTAAACCCCAGACATAGGCACCTAAGTCTGGGGTTTAGATGCCTGAATCCCAGTTTTGGCTCCACTGCGATCCACAAAACCCCTGATAAAACCTGTGGGTGCCTAAAGTTACTTGAGGCCTAAGTTCAGGATAAAAGTTCCCTCTGCCTCTAGGCATGTGCACTGCTGGGTCACTTTAGACTGCCAGATACCTATCTCCCACCTAAGCCCCAGAGCGGTTCATGAACTGGGGAAAGGTTGGCATTTGGCCGCTGAAGTTGCATGTGGGGCCAGATCCAGTAGGCATGCTCAGAGGCGGCCTACCAGATCAGTTCCCATTCAAAATCCAGCTGGAGGAGGTGGATAAATATTTAAATAGTCATTGGGCCGAGAGACAGAGAGTAGTGGGCTTTAGTCCATGAAAGCTTATGCCCAAATAAATGTGTTAGTCTCTAAGTGCCACAAGGACGCCTCGTTGTTTTTGCTGATACAGACTAACACGGCTACCACTCTGAAACCTGTAGTCTCAGACTCGCAGAGTTTAAGGCCAGAAGCGACCATCATAATCATCTAGTCTGACCTCCTGCACATTGCAGGCCACAGACCCTCACCCGCCCACTGCTGTAATAGACCCATAACCTGAGTTTCTGATGTCCTCAAATCTTGATTTAAAAACTTCAAGTTACGGGGAATCCACCATTTACTCTAGTTCAAACCAGCAAGTGACTCATGCCCCACATTGCAGAGGAAGGTGAAACCCCTCAAGGTCTCTACCAATCTGACCTGGGGGGAGGATTCCTTCCTGATCCCAAACATGGTGATCAGTAAGACCCTGAGCATGTGGGCAAAACCCACCAGCCAGACACCCGGGAAAGAATTCTCTGTAATAACTCAGAGCTCTCTCCATCTAGTGTTGCATCTCTGTCAGTTGGAGATATTTGCTAATAGCAGTCACAGATGGGCCATGTACCATTGTAGGCTGTTGCATCATATTTAGGAGGGAGGGATAGCTCAGTGGTTTGAGCATTGGCCTGATAAACCCAAGGTTGAGAGCTCAATCCTTGAGGGGGCCACTTAGGGATCTGGGGCAAAATCAGTACTTGGTCCTGCTAGTGGGGGCTGGACTTGATGACATTTCAGTTCTATGAGATGGGTATATCTCCATATATTATAACACTTCCATAAACTTATCAGCTCAGTCTTGATACAAGTTAGGTTTTTTGACCCCATCACTCCTCTTGGGAGGCTATTCCAGAATTTGACTCCTTTGGATAGTTAGAAACCTTTGCCTAATTTCAAGCCTAAACTTGTTGATGGCCAGTTTATAGCCCTTTGGTTTTGTGCCAACATTGGCCCTTAACTTAAATAACTCCTCTCCCTCCCTCGTGTTTATCCCTCTGATGTATTTATAGAGAGCGATCATATCTCCCCTCAGCCTTCATTTTGTTAGGCTAAACAAGCCAAGCTCCCTTAAGTCTCCTCTCATAAGGTTAGGTTTCCATTTCTCTGATCATCCTAGTAGCCCTTCTCTGCACCTGTTCCAGTTTGAATTCATCTTTCTTAAACTTGGGAGACCAGAATTGCACACAGTATTCCAGATAAGGTCTCACCGGTGCCTTGTACAATGTCAATAATACTTCCCTGTCTCTACTGGAAATACCTCACCTGATCCATCCTAGGATTACATTAGTCTTTTTCAGTCGCATCACGTTAGCGGCTCATAGTCATCCTGTGATGGCCCAATCCACCAAGGTCCTTCTCCTCCTCTGTCGCTTCCAACTGATACATCCCCAGCTCACAGCAATAGTCTTGTTGTTAGTCCCTAAGTGCTTGACCTTGCATTTTGCACTATTAAATTTCATCCCATTTCTATTTACTCCAGTTTCCAAGATCGTCCAAATCTTCTTGTATGATATACTGATCCTCCTCTGTATTGGCAGTACCTCCCAACTTTGTGTCATCCACAAATTTCATTAGCATACTCCCACTCTTTGTGCCAACGTCACTAATGAAAATGTCAAATAGGATTGGTCTCAAGACCAAGTCTTGAGGAATTCCACTAGTAACCTCTCTACAGCCTGACAATTCACTTTTTAGCATGACCCATTGTTGTCTCCACTTTATCCAACTCCTTATGCATCTTTTGATTCTTGTATTAACCCCCATCTTCTCCAGATTAAACTAATAATTTCCCATGTGGAACTGTCTCAAATGCTTTACTGAAAGCATACAGGTAGAGAAGATCTACTGCATTTCCTTTGTCTAGATAAATCCGTTATCTCCTCAAAGAGAGATCAAGGTGGTCTGGCACGATCAGTGTTTTTATCCCAATTCCTCTTTGCCGTACTCAGTGCTTAGTGGTCCCACTTCTTCTTTCCTTTTTTTCTTTTTATTTATATGGCGAAATAACCTTTTACTATGGGTTTTAAATTTCCTTTGCAAGGTCCAGCTCTGCTCGGCTTTGGCAGTTCTCACTTTATCCCTGCACTTTCTGACCTCCAAGAGGTAGCTTTCCTTGCTGATCCATCCCTTCTTCCATTCCTTGTAAGCCTTCTGCTTTCTTTTAATCACCTGTTTGAGATGCTTGCTCATCCAGTTTGGCCTCCCAACACTTCCCAATGAATTTTTTCCCTTTGCTTTAGATGCAGGCTCCATATAGTTTCTGTAACTTTGACTTAAAGTAGTTCCAAGCCTCCTCCACATTCAGATCCTTGAGTTCTTCACTCCAGCCCACTTCCCTAATTAATTCCCTTAATTTTTTTTTAAGTTTGCGCTTCTAAAATCAAGGATTCTAGTTGCAGCCCTATTTTTGTTTATCCTTCCATTTAGTTTAAATTCATGATCACTGGAATCAAGGCTGTCCTCTACCATTCAAAAAGTTCTTCTATGAAGTCATTGCTATTTACCGATACTAAA